AAAAAAAAAAAAAAAAAAAAAAAAAAAACAGCAAAAGATGTTATGGGTGAAATCCAATATGTTCCCCCAAAAGGTTCATTGTGTTCAAAGGCTCATTGGTTGCTGAGAGGCTTTGGGAAGTGACTGGGTCATGAAAGCTCTAACTTCATCATGAGATTCACATAATTATGAGATCATAATTTGATGGCATCATTCGTGTAGTGGCGGAAACAGGACGTGGGACCTAGATGAAGGATACACATCAGGGGCATCAGGCCTTAGTGTTGTACCTGGTCCCCTGCCTCCTCCTCTCTGGCTCTTCCCAACCCTGCCTGCTTCCTTACAACTGTGAAGTGAGTGGCTTTCTTCCCCCTCACCCTTCCACCATGATGCTTCTGACTCATCACAGGCCTAAAATCAATAGAGCCTGCCGGTGATAGACCAAAGCCTGTGACACTGTGAGCCACAGTAAATCTTTCCTCTTTCAAATTGTTTTCCTTGGGTATTTCAGAATAGCAATGGAAAGCTGACTAACACAAAATAACCGAAACAAAACAAACAAACAAACAAAAGAATCAAGTTAGAATAAAAGAACGTATTTGAAGGGAGAGAATTGTACCATACTATTCCCAGACTTACTAAAGAGTTACAGTGGTCAAGACAGTGTGGTGTTGGAGAAAGGGTAGACATATAGGTCGATGGAATAGAAGAGAAAGTCCGGATATAGATGGGCACATATAGGGCAACTGGTTCATGATAATGTTGCAAAAGTGATTACATGGAGAGAGGATGCCTTCTCAGCTAGTCGTGCTTGAACAATTGGATATCCATGAAAACAATAAACCTCAGCCTATATCTAATAGCATGTGCAAAAATTAACTCAAAATAGATTACAGACTTAAATGCAAAAGCTGAATACAATCTTCAAGAGAAAATATAAAAGAAAAACTTTGTCATTTTGGATTAAGCAAATACTTCTTAGATATGGCCCCAAAAGTACAGTAGTACCTCAGTTCACAAACTTAATTCTTTGCATAACTCTGGTTACAAACCAAATTGGACAAGGACCAAATCAAATTCAATAGTTAGGTTCAATATTGACCTTAGGGGGATATTTGATTTAGTCCTTGTCCAATTCAGTGTGTGACCAGAATTGTGGAAAGAATTAAGTTTGCGAACTGAGGTGCCACTGTATAATCCATAAAAGAAAAAAAGTATAAATTGTGCTCCATCAAAATTAACAATTTATAATCTTTAAAAGACATCATTAAGAAAATTAATAAGAAAGCTACCAAGTGGGAAAAATGATTACTTAATGATCTATCTCCTAAAGAATTTGTATCCAGAATAGGTGACAAATACTCAAACGAACAAAGCAAATACAAAATGGGCAAAAGATCTGAACAGACACATAGAGGAAAATACGTGGATTACAAATAAGCCCATGAAAAGCTGCTAAACACCATTAGTCATCAAGGAAGTACAAACTAAAACCATAATGTGATACCACTACATATCCATTATGCTAAAAACAATTTAAAATTCCAACAAGTACTGATTACAGCATGAAGCAACAGGAATGCTCATCCGTAGCTCTTGGGAATACAAAATGGCGCAGCTACTTTGGAAACATCTGGCAGTTTCTCACAAAGTCCACTATACATTTATCATGCAACAATCTCACTTATAGGTTCTTCTCAAGAGAAATGAAGACCCATGCTCATAGAAAAACCTATACCTGCTTATAGAAGTTTTACTTCTCACCCCCAAATCTAGAAACAACTCCAGTATTTGTCCACAAATCATGGTATAGCCCCAAGATTGGACACTACTCATTAATACAAATGAATGAACTATGCATAGCACAGGTGGCCTTCAGATGCATTGTGTCAGGGGAAAGAAGCCAAACTCAAAGGCTATACATACTGTGCAATTCTACCTGTGGGACATGCTGGAAAATGCAGAAGTATTGGAATAAAACACAGATTGTCAGTTGCCAAGGACTGGAAGTGAAAAGGTTGTCACCCCCAAGAGAGGACAGTGTGCTGATGAAGCGCTTATATTCTTTGGTGAATGCTGTCTATGTTCATCAGAACTAACAGAGCTGTACACTAAAAAGGCCTGACTTTACTGTATGCAAATTATACCTGAAAGGAGAGAGAGAGAGGGAAGGAGATGGAGACGGAGAGGGAGAGGTAGTACCTCTGATAGCAAATAGAAGATAACCAGAGTATTCAACACTGTGATAAAATGCCTGAGTAAAACATCTTTTAAATGGAAAGGTTTATGTTAGCTCATGGTTCCAGTCCATGGCCTGCTGGCTCCTATGCTGAGGGCTTGTGGAAGAAGGGCGGGATGCAGCAATGCTGTTACTTAATGATCTATCTCCTAAAGAACTTGTATCAAAACTCTTGGACCCATATTCCAACAAAGAAGGCAAGTATCGAGTGTTAGTTAGGAAGCAAAGTGAAAGGGGCAGAGCCAGAGAGAAAGGGGACTGGATATTGTCCCCAAGGTTAGGACCCCAATATCCACTCCTTCCATCAGGCCTTACCTAATGTTCCCGTCACCTCCCATAAAGCCATCAAATGATGATCTTCTCAGTGGATTAACCCTTGAGGAAGTTAGCTAGCACCCTCAGGACCTAATCACATCCCCCAAAAGCCTGGCAACCAAGCCTTTAAGCACTTGAGTTTGGAGGGACATTTCAAATTTAAATTGCAACACCACCTTTTTTCAAGGGGAAGGAAAATGGAGGGCCAGCATTCAATTTTGGCTGGAGATGTGCTCCCTGCTCGCCAGCCCTTATGGAAGGAGAAGTCGGCAGTGTAAGCGGCACTGATACACAAGCACCCAGCAGAGCCTTTCTCCTAAGTGGTACAACTGCAAAAGGAGCCTATGATATTCCCTCCTCTGTTCATAGAGGACCAGAAGTCGCCTCAGCTTTCCCTTGCACAAAACACCAACACTACTCATGCCAGGCCTCTAGGGCAGCGAGGGGTCCCCCTGCCTTCTCTGGAGCTTCCCATCCACTTTATGGGGCACGTGCACACTGCAGCCTCTTCCTGGGCCTCTGTCCTCCAGTCCTGGGCATCCCATTGCTTCCACCACTGCCTACATGGCGTTAAGCTTCCCTCCTCCTCCAGGACCCTGCACTTTCTCAGGGAGCTAGACTCCTCCAAGAACACTGCCTCCTGTCCCAAGTGCCCATGACTGAGGATAGACCCGAATTCTCTGATGTTCAGAATCTTTATTGGCGCTCATCTCTGGGAGAAAAGTCCGTCTCCAGCCAGTTCCCACCTTGAGTGCCTCTCCTACCCTCTCTACAGGCATCTGCTGATGAACGCATAAATGATGAGCTTTTGTTTTACAGCAAAGAAAAGAAAGCAAGTGTTCTGCCTTTCTCCAGCATGCTGCGGGTGTTTCGCGGAGGAGTAGTCTGTGTCTGGAGGTGGGCAGAGATTAGCTGCGGCGGACTTCTGGTACCCAGCCTCTTCTCTCTATCATTGCCAGGAGCAAATATCACCCATGCCCCCGGTGCCAAGCACCCACATCCTCTCACTTACTCAGTTTCTTTTTCTTGGCAGGGGGAATTGAACCAGGAATTGAACTCAGGACCTTGCACTTGCCAAGCAGGCGCTGTGCCACTCAGCTGTATCCCTAGCCCCTCTCACTTACTCAGAATGGTTGTGCAAGCCTAATTGATGAGGTGCAAATAATGGACATCTTCAGCACCAAAACCACTGTGGGATGTACCCACCCCACAAGCAGAGGTCCTGGGGCCCTATATTTCGCCAGGGAGCAGCAGGGCTGTGGCTCACGATCACGGGCGGTTTCACTGCTCTTCTCCCCAACACGTACATGCTTCATAGAGGAAAGACAGCTGAAATCCACCATCCACTTTCCTTTCCAGTAACCACACAGCCATGGAGACGCAGCAGGACCCTGTGGATTGGTGTGGGATGTGGGAACAGGCCACCCAGAGCCACTTTGGGGCCCAGCTTCAAAGAAATGCCCACTGGTCCTTGGGATGTTTGAGCCGGCCTGTCAAAGCACGTGGGCAGACACCATCAGCTTCCCCGAGGGCCAGGCTGAGAAGCCCTTTCTGCTCTCCTTCCTCTGGAGTCACCAGGTCACAAATGTCTGAACTGTGAGAATCATGGTAGGAGAACAGTCACTGCCACCACTCACTTTTTGACAGCTTGTGCTCTACGGCCAGCAGTACCTATAGGGAGGCCAGGCCCAACATGACCAAGGTCTCCCTCGAGATCCTCCACCATTGCAGGGAGATCTGGTTTTAGTTTGGTTCCAATTGTTTGCTAAAACTAACGACATGCTTCTTAGTTTTCTGGAGCTTTGGGAAGACAAACAAGAAAAAAAAATCAGCCTCCAACTCCTTTTCTCTCCACCTTCCCCAAATGAAAGGGAGGACGGCATGGATGCCTGTGGTTAATAAATGCAAGTGGCTTAAATCAAAGCCCTGCCTCCCCTGAGGCGAGATATGACTGCAGCTCCCCGGCGTCTTGGAAGCAGCTCCTTTCAACAGGTTTCAATGAGTGCTGTGCCAGCCGCGAAGGCACGAGAACCTGTCGGGCACATCAGACCCCAGAGTTTGTCACCTAGCAGCTCGGTGGAAAGATGCTGGGGGCAGTGGGATGGAAGGAACAATGTCTTGTTAACCCTTTTTCTTAGGGGCATATTGTGCCTCTCTACCACGCTAGGTTGCATTTACCTTGGCCTTGAAGAACTGGGATATTCTGCAGCACAGGCTGTAAATTCTTTTTTTCAGCTAGCATGAGCCAAATATAACAGGTAGCTGTCCAGACCTGTTTCGAAAGGATAAACCCCAGCTAAGCACATAAATAACATCCCCTGCCTTTTATCATATAAACATAGCCAGAGAGCCAAATGCATTAAAGGGCCTAAACACAGCTTCTCATTGTTATCTCATTAAATCCATTAAATATGTAGGAAAGAAAAGGCTTTCACATCTTGGGCCTGGTTTAAACTATCGGGGAACAGATTAGAGTTAATTAATGCTGTGAACTCTGAAACTGGCTGCCAGGGAGGCTCCCGATGGGATCCAGGTTCACACCTGTCACGGATGGAGTCCAGAAAACCGAAGCGGACGGTGACATGCCCCCCATTTCCTGCCCCCACACCCCCAACGCTGTAACTCTGAGAGTCTAATCTGTAACTCGCGCACCTTGATCGAGAGATAAACCTCCACCCGAGACGGGAAGTCGGTGGACTCCAAGCAGAAATTGTGCGAAGGTCTCTCACCAGTGCTCCGGAAATTGCCAGGGGTTGCAGACCAGGAGCAAGACAGCTAGGTTGCTCTGCAAGTGAGAAGGAGCTTGCCAATTATTCATGCAACTGGATAAACAGGGATTTTATCTCATAGCATGAATCAAGAGATAAAAATTCCATTTCAAGAGGGGGTGGAGACTAAACCTTGAATGTTAATTGTAAACTAAAAAAGAAGGAAGGGGGGATCTGTAAGCTTTGGCTTGAGTTGTGCTGTGAAAATTTGAAAGGTGCCCTGTCCTCAAATTCCATTTTCCCATTCCCCAAAACCTCCAGACCAGGCAGCCAACCAGAAGGGGAAGAGTGCTATCTCCCACCCCAAGTTTAGGTCCGCTCTCCTCCCATGCTCCAGGCCTCTTAGGAAAACTCCAGCCACAACCACCATTAGACAGTGCGGGGAGGGTGAACCATCAAACTGCAACACCTCAAAGTGTTTCTAATTTAAAATCAACTGGCTGCTCCCAAGCTGAAATCCAAAGCAGCTGGAAGTTCACAACAGCTGCCTAAAAAGCCCAAAACAGGCAATTCCAACACAGAAGACATTTTGGCCAGCCAGGTATGGAAATCATAGCTACTTGGGAAGCTGAAGCAGGAGGATCTCAAGTTTGAGGCCAGCCAGGGCAATTTAGTGACATCCTGTCTCAAAAATAAAAAATGTTTAAAGGAGGGGAGGAATATAGTTCAGTGGTAGAGCCTGAGCCTAGCATGCATGAGGCCCTGGATTCAATCCCCAGTACCCCAAAAAAGGGGGGCCAAATGACTTTATTTTTGTCCTTCTGTACCCCTACTCCACTCAAGGTCTTGCACCTGACATTTCCTTAAAGTCTGGGTAATAAATTCAAAAGATGAAATTGGGGAATTCATGCTTTATTTAGGTACTAGATTTGATCATACATTGGACCATATGTACTTATATATACAGAGAACATATATATGTGTGGAGCATATATATGGTGAAAAAAATCTATACATTTAGAGATATACATGGGGAAAACAGATATATGTGGAGAGAGATGTACATATATTAGTACATATTTTAGAGCATATATATATAGAGAGAGAGGGAGAGAGAGAGAGAGAGAGAGAGAAAATAATCATACACCCAAGTGTCAGCAGGGGTTGGCCCCACACAGTAGGAATTTGCATGACTGTCACTTCTTTCTTTCTATGTTTTCCAAACAGTATATTAGAAGCGTTGTTAATTCTACAATGGGAGAGAAATAATGAACTTTGTACTTTTAAAATACTGAACTATATTAAAAGCATGCACTGATCTTATATGGGAGGATAACTAAGAGCTTCATAATCAACATAGTCTGAAGCCACACAGACTGACTTATTTTCCACTCCTCCAACACAGCAGAGGAATTTAGCCTGGTAGAGTTGCCCTTTCTCAGCCCCCAGCTGGCAGGTGGGGAGGAGCACTGGGGTGAGGGGGCAGAAAGGTGCCCCCTGCCCAAAGCAGTGCTTCCAAAAATACTCACAGGTGGAGAAGGTGCATGCCACCTGTGCCCTGCAGTCTTGGCAGGGTGGCGCCCAAGGAAAAACCAGGAGAGTCAGGAATATGCTCTCGGGTGACACCAGCACAGCTTCCCCCCCCATTCCCCTTGCCTGTTTCCCAGGTCAGAAAGGAGGTGTCAGAGCTTTACCTTCTCTTTTTGCTTTTCTTACTTTTGAAGACACAGAAGGTTACATTGATTTCCTGAGTGTTTGCCTACGTTAGATCTCCCATTTGTCTTCTAAATTTTTCTTTTGGCCCTCCCATCTCCTTGTCCACTTCTTTTCTCTTGCTTCAAAAAGGTATCCACTTGAATTTGTCTGATGTATTGCCTTACACACACACACACACACACACACACCGGAGAAGTGTGTAGTGTTTATGTGCAGTGTGTGTTCTCAGTTTACATGAATGAACCTTTCCTCTGGGTACCTCTTTCATGAGGCACTGCACTTTGTAAATCTCCCCACAGCGTCGCTCCAACAACTGAGGATCTCTTTACAGTCCTCAAATTTGACAGTTAGGGGGTACCCCACCCCAGTGAGCATTCTGATGACTCTAAGACATATCCAGGATGGGAGCTGCTCAGGCCAGGGAAAATTAGGGTCAGGGACAGGCCACGCTGCCTCCCTTCCCTGTCCTCCCAACCTGGGATGATCCCATGGAACCATCTAGAACTGCCCTGAAGATCTCCAGAGCCCTCCAAACCCCAGCGCCCTGCAGCGCCGAGCCCAGCGAGGGGTCCTGCACACATGGGAGTTGCTCAGCTGCAAGCACACTGGCTCACCAGAAAGCTACTCTGACGTCCTTCCTAGCATCATCTTGCTGGATTCGCTCCCAAGCCCTCAGAACATTCTCCTACTTTAAATAAATGATACCAGGCTCAGAGAGGGTGCCCAAGCATGCATATTATGCACAGCAGTGCTAAGACAGGAACTCTATTAGATACCCCCGCCTTCCTGATCCCAGCCAGGGCTGCCTCTCCACCCCAACACCAACGAAGCCTTTCACACGGAATATTTTTGCTTCTTGAGGAAAACACCTTGAGCCATCCCATTCTTCTAAAGACTCTCTCCAAGCCCTACTATGTCTAAATATCTCTGAACTGTCAGTCTCATGGGCAGAGGGATCCACCACATCCCACTCCCACAAGGAACAGAGGGAACAAGTTGGGAATGGTGTGGATGAGGGTATGAATGCCCTGCCCCACTGCTCACCCGCTCACCCAGCACCCAAAGCCCTGACATCACACAGAGGACCAGGCTGGACTGGGGACCAGAAATTTAAAAAGAAAAAGCACTGACCCTCCCATGTAGGCAAGGCTGGTGACAAGAAGTGTTTGCTCCTTGCTGACCAGAGTTTCAGTATCTACCCATCAAGTTGGCTTTGTGCCTACTGACATGGGGAAAGCACAGCCTGCCTTTGTAGAAAAGAGACCCTTGATCCCAGGAACTAAGATGTCTCCACAGTTTGGGGGTTGGTGATCCAGTGATGAGTTAATGAGTTTATTAATTAATTATTATTAATAAGTTGGTGAATGTGAGGATAAAATCAAGCCATGCAGCTTGGGTACCACCTAGAACAATCGTAACAACCACAATGCTAGTCAACTTCCATCCACTCTTCTACCCATTTACCTCGCTATCCCTCTGTCCCCCTAACCATTTATCTATTCACCCATCCATCTATCCATCCATTTAGGCATTTGTCCACCCATCCATCCATCCATCCATTCATCTACCTACCCTTCTTGCCATTATCCATCCACTCACCCACTCACCCATCCTCCATTCACCCATCTATCCACCTACTAATCCATCTTTCCATCTATTCATCCACTTACCCCATCCATTCATCTACCTACACATCTACATATCCATCCATGCACCTATCCATCCACTCATCCATTCACTCATCCAATCACTCGACAGTCCATCCACTCACTCAAAACATACCCACTGTGTGCCAGGTTCTGAGTTCAGCCCTCTGATGCTGTTCTCTGCCCCATGCACACAACAGCTGCTTAAAACAAGGAGACTGAGACTAGTGTAGTGGCTACTGTAGAGAGTCCCCAAAAGCCCAAGGAATTTCTCCAATATGGCACCCAAGGGGAGGTAGACAAGAAGGCACTCAGAATCTAGGCAGTTAGGGTCAGAATGAGGAGCCAGACTTCCAACCACAGACCAGGTTCCTGTCCAGGCTCCACTGCACACCAGCCATGTGACCTTCAACTTGTCTCCAGGGAGTTTCAGGGTCTGAGAAGGTTGGATCCTCCTCTGGCCCGGCCCCTACTTCACCCAGAGCAGCCCAGGAAGGCAGCCTGATGTTTATTTGGTTATTAGATAACCAGGCCCAGCACCATTTCTTTGATCAGGCACCCCTGATAACAAGCAGAGGAAGCAGACCATTTTATAGCAAGATTTTGGAGGGCGATCTTATCTTCCCGCGGTGCCTTTCATAGGGACAAGAATGGGAGGTGGGTGTTTGAAGAGGAGGGGGAGGGAGAAAGGGCCTGACCCTTGGTGCTTTCCCATCCACTTATCCTGGACTTTGGTTTAAGGGGAGGGGCAGGAAGCACACATAGAGCAGGAAGGCAAGCCTCCTCTCTCCCACTCATCAACATCTGACCTGTAGTGGCCTCTCCCTCCTCCTGTCCCCAGCAAGACTCCTGTGTCCAGCCTACACCCTGGGCAACGCTGGCCACCTGGGGAGCTCCCTGCGGTTAACCATGCAGACAGCCCAGCTCTAGAGGCCAAAATGCAAAAATTCCCCTGGACGTGACTTACGGGCAGCACAGATGACCTTATAGCGGCTGCCATCCCAAATCCCCCCAGATCTGTGCGTCAGAAGTCAGAAGCCTATTGTCATTCTTCTAGCTAAAGACACAGTCTGGACAATGTACCTCTTCCTTTTCTTTTCTTTTCTTTTCTTTTCTTTTCTTTTCTTCTCTTTTCTTTTCTTTTCTCTTCTTCTCTTTTTTCTTCTTTTCTTTTCTTTCTTTCTTGCTTCCTCTTTTCCTTCCTTTCTTCCTCTTCCCCTCTTTCTTTCTCTCTCTTGTTTCTTGTCATGGTAGAGATATGTTTGAAGCCCATCAATGAGCCTTAGCCTCAGTTTCCTTCTCCCATTCTCATTTGATGTCTTGGCAGCTGAGGGGTAGTCCTGTTCAAACACCATCTGTTGTCCATTTTCCTTGGGTTATTTGTTTCTCACTGTTTTGGAGTGAAGTTCACATTCCTCCGTCCAGGTAGGTGTGGGCGGCTCCGCTGCCCTGGGCTTCCGTCTTCACCTCTGTGCAATGAAGAGCGCTAGACCGCTCAGCCCAACGTCCCTTCTAGCTTCACTCAGCGCCCTGAGCTCTGTGCGCCGTGGGGCTTCGCTAAGACTGGGAGGCGCCGTGGAATTATGCTGCCGACACTCCCAAGCTCTGCCGAGTGAGGCTGTGGTTGTGGCCTGAGCATTTCCACTGGTGATCTTCAGAGGCGGAGTGGAGCCAGCAGTGCCATGGGATGGAAACCCTCATGGCTCACAGCATCACAGGACCAGCAGGGACTCAGAGCTCTTTTGCTTCCAGCTGTGCAGCCCTGGGGCAGTAGTCCCTGGTCTTGGGACATATTTCACCACTCCATCACACGGGGCTGGCACTAACTCCTACTTCTTGTTGGGTTGCTTGGATACAAAGGACTCAGCACCTGGCTAGCACCAAGTTCTCAGGAAGCATCCACGATGCCTCTTACTTATGAATGAACCACCCAACCATCAGCACACGTGCCCCACACTTTGTGGGGAACCTCCCACCTGTAACAGTAGCACAGTCAGTTCTGAAAGTACTGAATTATAATCTCACCTGGGACATCAACATAACACCCCCTCCCCGCAACAAGCCATGAACGCCTCACCCCCGATCCTCACCTGAGACTTGGAAATGCCCACAAGCAGCACTCCCAGAGGGGCAGTCTCCAACCGCCATGACCAGAACAGCGTGTCATTTTAAAACTGTCATTATAAATTTCGCATATTTAAAGACACATAATTGCCACAAATAATCACAATTATGCAATTACAAATAATCACCCTGCGGAACTCTCCTCTGGCCCCTAACAGTTGTCCCTTGCATACCAACTTGGCGTGTGGCTCCTCCACGCTGTCTGCCTGCCGGGGAAGGCGCACAGCGAGCTCGGTCTCATCAAGGCCGCCTTGAGCCTCACGCTGCGTACAGTAATGAACAACAAAAACCAGCAGAAAATGTCATTTTCAGGAAGGAGACGGGTCATCTTCCTCACACTTCCATTTCTGTAGGATCACACTGTGTTCTGGTGCCACTGGCAAGGTGGAAAGCAGGGGCAGCCAGGGGTCCCAAGTGGGGGTCCCTGGGGTTGAGGCAGTGGGCTTGTGCGGCTCCCGGGAGCCTCACCTAAGTTCCGGGTAAGAAATCCAAAGCAGAGGTGGGGCTCCCGGGGCCCTCTGGGAAAGCAGCTCAGAGAAATGCGCCAGGAACCCTTGGAGGGGCCGGCTGACTGCCCAGACAGGCACCCTGGACACGAACCTGCCCCAAGGAGCCGGGCTCTCTCCTCCTCCCTTTATTCTGTCTCTCTCTGTCTCCTTCTTCATTCCCTTTCTTCCTCTGTGCCTTTCACTCCCTCTTTCTTGCTGTTTCTTTCTTGTTCTCTCTTCTCAGCTCGGTCTTCTCTTTCTCCACTCCTTACCCACTCCCTTCTTCTCTTTTCCCTTTCTCCCCGTCTTCTCCCTTTCCCTCTCCCAGTTCACCGCAGCACAAGCGAATGGGCCTTGGGATGCGCACCTCTCCGGCCTGGCCACCCCCAGTCCCCACTCCAGTCGCACGGATCCTCTCCATTGGGAGGAACGAGCCATTTGTACATTTCCCACACCAGTGATTCTATGTCTTCATTCATAAATCCAGTGACTTGCCATGGCTCTCCTCCCCAGGTGCCCACACACCTTTCTCCACGGCTTCCCTGCCAAACAGGATGCCAAGGGGAGGCCCGGCGCCAGGCTGGGATCTGCAGGGACCAGTTGGGAGGCATCCCGCTGTCCTCCCCCTCGCAGCTGCCTTGCCTCTGAGCTGCCACCCCAAGCTGACTCACCCAGAGGAGAACTGCGGGGTGGTGGCAGGAGGAGGAGTTGAGGTGGGGGGAGGAAACCCGCCCTCGGCGGCTGCACACTTAGCCTAGACGCAGCAGAGCTGGGGACAGTTAATTACAGAGAGCGGCTGCCGGCTTTGGGGCGCCCTGGCTTGGCCTCCTTCGCGGCACTACTGTGCTTGCTAGGCTCCAAGTTGACGCGACTTTTCCAAGAGTATCTGGAAGGCCTGAATAGAAACTTCAGGGGTTCCGGGACCGGCCGGGCCGAAGGAGCTTCCCTTCCCCACGCCCTCGCCCTTCCAGGGATCAGCCTGGCCAGGGGCGCGCCTTGGCGCGAGGTGGGCACCGCGCTGGCTCAGCGGAGACCAGAGTTTGGGGAAGGCTTCCTGCCCACTGAAAAGACTTTGCGGGAGCTAGGGCCCAGGGCACGGGGGCGTCGGCGGGGGTCTGCGCGGCAGGAGGGGTGCGCGCTGCCTGCGAGCTCCCGCCCGGGGCGGTCTCCACCTCCTCTGGCGCTCGGACCTATGAGTGCGCGGCTCAACTTCCAGCTCCGCGGCCCGGGAGGTGAGCGCGTGTGAGCGCCGAGGGGCGCGGGACCTCCAAACTCCTTCGCGGGACCCAGACCGCCCGCGCCGTCGCCGCCCGCGGTCCGCGCCGCCCCGACGGGATGCCCGCGGCCATGCTGCCCTTCGCTTGCGTCCTGGTGCTGCTGGGAGGTAGGTGCCACCCTCGCCCGCCCGACTCGCCCCTGAGGTCGAGAAGGGAAGGAACTCGGGGTCCGACGATCCCCGCGGGGCCTTGGGGACTGACTGCTGGCCCGTGCACCTGGCCGGTCACTGTGGCCCTCGGGCCTTTCTCCAGCCTCACCTGGCTGGCCTAACCTCCAGGTGCTGGGAGCAGCTCCTGGAACTGCAGCACCTCGGGGTGCTGGCACCTCCAAAAAGATGCCAGAGTATCCCAGCATCGCAAGAGCCCAGGACCGGGGCTGCGGGAGTTGGTCTTGCCCTCGGGCTGCGGGAGTTGGTCTTGCCCTCTGAATCTGAGAGCTGGGGGTACTTAGGGCTGTTTCCTGCAGCAGAATTAGGGGAGAAGGGAGGGGAAAATAACGCTGCTACTTTTAGCTGGTGCCCAGGAGGCCTGCGGGAGGCAGGGGGCGCCCAGGAACCCCTGGTAAAGGAAACGGAGCCTTCTCCAGGGCCAATGGCCTCCCCGTGGTTCTCGGGACTTGCTACAAATGGCAGCTGACTTCACCATGCCAGTATGGGGGCTCAGTCACCATTGCCAAAAACGACAGTAATAATCACAGTCATCAAAGTGTGCCAACCCCAAGCGCCTTCACATACCCAAGGGCTAAGAATTCCAGCCCTGGAGTCAGAGTGTCTGCCTCAGAAGTGGAGATGAGCTTCATACCAACCCGTATGGGTGTCCATCAGCTCTCTCAGTCTCAGCTTTTTTGCCTGTCAAATGGGCTCACAGAAGCTCTAACGCTCCTAGCATGCTGGTGAGATTACCAGAAGGCAGGAGGGAGGAGCCCTGCGCTGGCTGCCTGGTGTCGCCTGGCACTGATTGCACATTCAGCTTACGGCAGCCCAGGTCACCGGCTGTGAGGTCCTGCGGTGGAACTCGCTGCCCGCAGCCACAGCCACCCCCACGCATAGGCACAGAGCAAAGTGTGGTCTGGTACGAGCTTTTCAACCACAGCCTTTTCTTCCCAGCGCCGAATGTCTATGCAAGATGTTTTGAGAAAAAGATGAAAGGGGCCTAAAGAAGGGTCAAGGGAGCTTGCGCTTGCAGTTTGAAGAGTTGCAGATGCATCCAATCAAAAGGTACATTCATCAAGGGCTGCTTTGCCTGCTCGGCTGGCAGCGAGAGGTCACACTGCTATCCCTTGCCACAGGGTCCCCATCTTGGCAAAAGTAGGCTCAGCAGCCCCACCAGCTTCCGAGAAAGTAGGGTCCCGTAGGGGGTGTTGGGGCAACTGCGAGAGACTCGGTGCTGGGGGTCCAGGTGGGGAGGACTGGGAGGCCCCTGCCAGTCTCTGTTCCTCCAGCTCCCTGAGCTCTTCTCGCCGGTGGCGCCGAGGCAGTCCGGAGCAGTAGGACATATTAGCCCCAAACCCTGCGGTCTCGGTCACAACGCAGGGCTGTTGTCTTTGGCAGGCCCTGAGCTTCTCGTCATGCCAATAAAAATCGCTGGAAGTTTAGCATCGGAGCTCGCTCTTGGGCAGTCTGCTGCCTCACTTGGTGGTGACCTTTCGCCAGGCAAGTCACACAGATGTCACAGGACAGACGCCAGAGATGTCCAGGGGCCCGGTGAGAATGGGGAATCCACTCCGGAGCCCACCAGCAGGTAGCTTAGATGCAGAGGCCAGAGAGGCAATGACTCCATCCTGGCCACCTTCGTAGCTGCCAGTTCTAAGCTGGGCACCTTTTCTACTGGGTGCTTTTCTCAAAAGTCCTTTGTCCCACTGGCTATGTCCCCAGATCGCAAGTGAAAGGAAAGAGAACCCGGTTAATCCTTCTGCTGCTTGTGTAATCTGGGTACCTGAGCTAAGGCAGCCTGAACTTCGTTCCAGAAACTTCGGGGAGAATGAATGACACGCTAGCTGCCCTGCCAAGGAAATTCAGATTGAGGGTACACACACACACACACACACACACACACCAGGGTTTCTCAACACAATTCATATTTGGAACCAGCTTCTTTTTGAGGGGTAGGGGGTAGGCATAGCGTGCTGTTCACTGCATCAACGGCCTCTTCCAGCCAGATTCCAGTGGCCCCTCCCGGTCATAAGAACCAAAAATGTCTCTAGACATTGCCAAATGTCCTTTGGGCACAATTACCCCCAACAGAGAACCATTAGTATGGACAGATCAACCTCAACTGGTCGCTTTTCACAAGAATCTTTTCTCCGAATCACTGAATTGGATGGACTTTGTTATTCTTGTTCTGAACAATCAGGAAATCAAGGGCACAGTGGGGTCTCAAGAAAAACAACGCAACCTAGGTGGTTTCTAATCTGGACGTTGATTTTTCCCATTTGTTCTCGCTCTGTCTGTATTTGACAATGTCCTGTTTCTGACAATGTCCTCGCAGTGGATGACAGGAGTGAAGCCAGGGTACGTGCAGTTCCCCACTGCCGTGAACCTGCCTTCATCCAGTCCCGGAATGCCAGGTGTGTCTTGGGCCATTTATTCTGCTGCCAGATTTGGTTCCCACCACAGCAATTTTGGCTTTTAAAAATCTCCTTATTCAACAATTTGTGCTTCAGGAGGAAAATAGGAGACCACAGCTTCTTCTTCCTGTGTGTGTGTGTGTGTGTGTGTGTGTGTGTATTTTTTTTTCTAATTTTGGCTCTGTCAAGTTATCTTTTAGAGGCAGATTAACCAGGACGAAATCACAGGTTGTTCCATAATAAATTAGTCTTGATGTGGGGCTCTGTTTCAAACCTTGCAATAAAAATGGGGAAGAAAATTAACACAAAACACATTTTTTGGAAAAATCAAATGTGACTAGCGATCAGCCACCATATTAATTATTTAAGACAAAGAAAATGATCCATAGAAACTTGGTCTCACCACTTAGCAAGTCCCAAGCGAATCATCCGGGCCAGCTGTTTCACTTATCTTCTGACCGAGGCTATAATCTCTAAACTCAAAATAACCAGCTCAAGGCAAATACAGCAGATTCCTTGATTTCAAAACCATCTGGATGGCAAACTAGTTAGAAGCTACTCATGAAGAAGTATTTGTGCAATGTATTGGAAGTTAATTGTGCTAATGAAAGCTTTAAGCCAGAATGAGCCCCTTTTAAAACTTCCAGGATATGGTGGTTCACCGCCAGCATCAGTCTGCAAAATGAAAATCAATAGCCCAATGCAGAGGGGAAGGGAGGCTATTAAAATCAGTTTGAACTTGAGGGCAACTAAGCTGAGCTAGGGGGACTCTGGGGAAAGAACTAAATCCAGAAGTTGGTGCAGGGGCTTGTTATGAGCCGAGGCTGGCAGCCGGGTATGGTTGTTCCTTAAATGAGAACGGCTTTCAGGAGTGTTTGTGCAAAGCCAACCTCTGTCCCCTTTGGATTTTCTGATTGTCTCCAAAAGACCTCTATCTAGGAAACTGACACCCAGGAAATAAGATGTACTCAGAGAGGCCCGAATGAAGCTGCCACATGGGCAAACTTGTCCCAGAGAATGTCAGACCTCCCAGCAGGAGGGGAAACCAGCGGTCCAGTGGGCAAAACTTGTGACCACCAGGACAACCGCCTGCACACTCAGGCGGTTTGACTGAATCTGATACACTTGGTGTGCTGCAGGGAGCTCGGGCCCGCCGTCATGGAAATAGATGCTGGCCCCGTCCTGGTTCTGTTACCTTCCCATTGGCCTGCTGGGCCTATTCAGCCTCCCTGGGCCTAAGTTTCCTCATTGAGTTGGGAATGGCAACCGCTGTGGTCTCAGTGTGCCTGAGGGATTAACAGGATGATATGTGGTCATACTTAACACCAAGCACCCAGTGACCCCTGTCCAGTTATGGCAAAGACAGAGCCTGCCCTATGCTCCCTGAGCCCAAAGAAGGGTCCTATGCCCAGCAGACTGCATTCAGCTTGAACTTGGATGGGTTACTTAATGCCCATCTTTTTAATGGACACCTTGCTTTCTTCCTGCTCTGATATACTGTGCGCCTACAAGAGCACCTTGATAGTTTTTTTTTGTTTTTTGTTTTGTTTTGATTTTTTGGTCCTTTTTTGAGACAGGTTCTCACTATGTAGTTCAGACTGGCTTTAAACACACTTTGTAGCCCAGGCTGGCCTCGAACTCACAGCAATCCTTCCTGCCTCAGCCTCCCAGTGCTGGGATTACATGCATGCACCACCGGGCTCGGCTTGAACCTCTTAATTCTTATAAAGAAACCAACAAATATCAGCAACATCTGCCATCCACTGGGGACCTACTTTTCTTAAGGGCTGCAGGAACATTATATTATTTCTTCAACTATCTGTGACACAGGCATTGCTATTATGAACTTTTGACACCTGAGGAAGTAGCTGCTTCCTGGGCTAGGTTGCTTGGAAGGGCAGAACCCTTGCTGGCTGTCACTCGCTCAGTAGCCATCCAGAGCCTGTGAAATTCTGGCCCCAAGAAGCCGAGAAGCCACTGTTTCCTGGTGGTCCTAAGGTGCCAGCAGTCTCTCAGCATAGGCAGTCCGTTGCCTCCTATTGCCCACTACAGAGAAAACCACAGAGGGTGAGCTTCTTCACCAAAGCCAGTGAGACACACTGTGACACTTGTTGATCCCATTAATAGTGGAGCTTTTGTCCACTAGAGTGGAATCCCGGCTCCACCCATCCCAAGTCCTGCTCTGTCTGAGACAAATGGACAAGTGACTGTTTTGCCTACCTAGGCTTCAATCCCCTTTATTTAGCTACAGAAAAATTTCCCTCATTATCTCTAGTCCTTGGGGACCTGTCAAGCAAGATGCCTCACCTGTACCTGGCATGTGAGTCTCCAGCTAAGCCAACAAGTTGCTTGTTCCAGGACCTTGAATGTGGAACAGAGTGACCAGAAATTAAATGCGTTCATGCCTACACAGGCTAGGGAAAGCTATAAAATAGTTCTCTCCCCCTGGATTCCAAGCACGTCATTGGTACAGTGAGCACCCATGCCATTCCAAGGAATCCTTTTTTACCCTGTGGGAATCATACTTGGCTTCTGTTGCTT